GCCTGAATACGCCACACCTAAGCTTGACTGACCAAATATGTCTGTAGGTGTTCTCTGGCGTCCTGCAGTCTGTGATAGGTCGTGTCATCCAAAGGTTCTGACTGCAATTTGACATCCCAAGTTTCCAGTTCTATCAGTAGAGTGTCAAAAACTGTCTTTTTTTCCCTTACATGATTTATTGATAATGTTTTTTATTCGGTCTCTCAGTTGCATCACCCCTTCGTTGAACCAATCCACCATTGAGGCTGCGTTGACCCGCAATGATTCTCAATACTGCCAAAAGTCTTTGATCAGGCTTTTTAGGGACGAAAGTTTAAGTAGGGAGGTATTGAACTTGTAAAAGTTGGGGCCTTTTTTAATCATAGAGTGGAATGAGAGGCCCAACACTATGCCCCGGTGGTCGAAGGATCTGCATGGGCCAAAGGACATTATTGCTGCTATTGCCAGTGCCCCCACCAGTTCCTATGCGATGAGGAAGAGGTCAATCCTAGAGTTAGACCTACCTGCTGCTCCTCTGGATCTGATGCATGTGCATGCCCGTTTCATGGGGAACAACAGTCTGTACGCATCCTTAAGTCTCAGGGTGGCCACAAACCTTGCAAGCATATCTACATCTGAGGCCCATCTATCATGCGGATGTGATTGACACTGTCTGGTATTGGAAGATCTTCTGTCTATGAGGGGGTCCAGAGTAATATTGAAGTCTCCCGCTATAATAAGAGGCGCATCTGTTGGGAGTTCTTGTTGGAGATGCTGTAGAAAGTCGACTTGTTTCAAGGGGTCATTTCGGTCGTGCACACTAACTATGTCAATTTCCTCCTCCCCTAACATTGCTCTTCAAGTTAAGTACACCCATCTCCCATCATGGTGATTGTACGCATGTGCCAATAAGGTTAGCCTCGGCGAGGGGGGGATCCATATGGCCACCCCTGTGGAGGCACCTGATTTTGTAGTAGGAACCGAGAATTACTCATACGACCAGATTTTCTTTTCCTTCGCTTTATGAGCGGGTGAGTGGGTCAGATGCGTTTCTTGCACGCAGATCACGTCAAGCCAGATATCAACACCTTATAGTCTAAACATTTTCCATATTGCATATTTTTTATCCTGAGAGGCCTAGGCCAGCCCATTGAGGTTGAGTGCTCTTATGTCCAGTTCAATCCGAGTGATCTCCCGCATCCACTATGGAGGACGTATGTTTGGAGGGTGCAGCCGGGGTCTAGGGGTGGTGTTGGTGGAGGTGGTGGTGGGGGCGGTACATAGATTGTACACTCCATATTAGTTTGGCTTTGCATATTCGTTTGTTTTGCTTGTGTGGGCCCCCTTCTTTTTCCTTTTTTTGAAGTTTTTATTCATTCGGCTGCCCATGAACAGGAGGACAATGACCTGAGGGTTATTAGCGGTCGGGCAGGTATTGGATGCCGAGGATCAGGTTCTTGTTCATATTTTTCGTCTGATTCTGATTCTGGTTCCTTAGAGCTATCTACTTGAAGTAACCCTTCCGAGTCTTTGCTCGACAGCAGTTGCATCACACAAGCCGCTAGAGAAGCCGTACACGTTGTCTGCCTTACCTCTACTCTCGTCGGGGCCAAGAGATCAGCTGGAATCCTTTGCAAGGTGGGAGGGAGGACATGGACCACCTGTCCTTCATGGGTCTCATGATTGCTATGGAGCATAGCTCCGATGTCCTCCACCAGTATTGAGGGCTAGAACTGATTATCCTCAGTATGTAGTTTTTTTTTTCCCCTCGTTCCCTCCCTTGGAATCATTTGGTTGGAGGATGTGTAGCCCGCAGTTCTCCTGTTTAGCTCGTGTAGTAAATTGGTCACTATGATGATGATAGTTTTTACCATCAGACCCCAGTGGATATCTTACATTTTATGATATTGATTGACTGCCTGTTTAATAGTGTGTTTCGCCATCATCCTCCGTCGAATTTTCTCCCAATGTAGTGGGGGGATGATCTCTGTCAGAGATCTGGCTGACGTGGCCAGCGAGTTTTGCAGTATCCAGTCAGTAAGCTCCTTAAGTTGAGCGCGCACGTACCTGTCGCTAACTAACTGTTGTTTACAATGCCTCTCTGACTATTCTTGTTGCGTCAGTGAATGTTGGCCCTGTATCAATTCCTGTTGCTGTGCGGTCATAGCTCCTTTTCTGGTAAGCCCTGACAACTCCTCAACTGGTTCCATGACCTGGTCTAGTGCAGGATGGACTCCCTCCCTATTGACTAAAGGAGGTACTACAAGCCCCATTTCCTGGTCCTGAGGCAGGTGAATGCTATTTGGGGGGGGGGTGGACTCTTCCTCTCCCTTGGGTTGCATGTCGACCATTGGGAGGTCCTGGTCTGGATGTATGCCTTCATCAGTATGATGGGCGGTACTCACAGGTGAACAGCAAACGTGGAGGTCATCCAAATCGTTGTTATGCAGGTGAGTTCGCCAATAACTACTCTCTGCATGTTGTTGTTGGAGATTTAGCGTGTCCAACAGTTCCAGCGTCTCCCTTTGGATGTGGACACTGTGTTGGACACCGAGCAGATGTTGTCGGATAAGCCCCGGATCCTTCTGCTCTTTCCCACACCCGGCCGCAATTCGCAGCCCTTAGGATGCGGTATAGTGTGCTTGCGCATCTGTGTCAAGGTGTCGCATTTTCGGTGGCGGGCGACCAGGCCGCAAAGTAGGTTCTTAGGGGGCAAAAAAATTTGGGGAACCGGTCCTTGGCAAAATTGCGGACTACCTACAGCTAGCTCTTCTAGAACCGGGACTTTTGGAAAAAGGAAGGACCGGTCCTCGGGTGGAAGTGGACCCCAAAAAGAAGTGGGGGGCGTTGGACCGGTCCTCGGATAGAAGCGGACCCCAAAAAGAAGTGAGGGCATGTGAACTGCAAAAGGGCCCTCAGGCCCAGACATTGAGCCCCGTCTTCTCAAAACAGGGAGGTCAGGCACCATGAAATAGGCGTTTTGCAAGAGGCAACTTTGACGATTTTCTGTGCTCGGATGAACATGCACAAAAATCTGAAATTTTGAGAATCCATAGATGAGGTCGTGTTCTTTCCAGAAATAATAATAGAACATTTACAAAAAATCATTTA